AATACATTTAAATACATTCCAGTAACCCAGAGGAAGGCAGGAAAAGGAAAACATTATTGAAAAACAGAGGACAAACAGAAAACAAAAAATATAATAGCTTACTTAAGCCTTAACATATCAATAATTACATTAAATGGAAATGGCTTAAATACACCAATTAAAAGATTTGGATTGGTAGAGTGAATTAAAAACCACGCCCCTATGATATGCCGTCTACAAAAATTTCACTTCAGATATAATGATATAGGCACGTTGAAAGTAAAAGGATGAAAAATGATCTATGAAGTAAACATTAATCAAAAGAAAACAGGACTGGATGTAGTAATATTAGATAAAGTAGACTTCAGAGAAAAGACACTGAGGGACATTACAAATGAAAATAGGGTCAATCCACCAAGAATGCATAAAAATCCTAAATGTGTACATACCAAAACATAGCGCTGCCAGATATATGAAGCAAAAACTGATAGAATTGAAAGCAGAAATAGAGAAACCCACAATTATAGTTAGAGACTTCAGCACCCCTCTCTCAGCAATTGACAGAGCAACTACTCAGAAAATCAGCAAGACTATAGAAGAACTCAACAATACCATCAACCACCAGGATCTAACTAACATTGTAAAACACTCCAACTAAAAGAAGTAGAATACACATTCTTTTCAAGTGGCAACAGAACACATAACAAGATAGACCACAACCTGTGGTATAAAACAAACCTCAACAAATTTAAGAATTTAAATCATACCCAAAAACCCCCCCAAACTTGTTGCCATCTAGTCAGTTCCGATGCATAGTGACCCTATAGGACAGAGTAGAGCTGCCCATAGAGTTTCCAAGGAGCCGGCGGTGGATTCGACCTGGATTCATTTTATCTAACCTTTTTGGTTAGCAGCTGAGCTCTTAAGCACGGTGCCACCAGGGCTCCAATCATACAGACACTTTTAAATAATCCATGGGTCAAAAAGGAAGTCTCAAGGAAAAGAAAAAAACAATACATTGGACTGAAGAAAATGAAATGCTAACATATCAAAATTGTGGGACATAGCTAAAGCAGTGGTGAGAGGGAAATTTATAGCACTAAATGCACACATTAGAAAAGAGGAAAAGTCTCAAATTAATCAAACAAGACCCCACTGCAAGAAACTGGAAAGAAAAGAGCAAAATAAGTGCAAAGCAAGCAGAGGAAAGAAAGTATTAATGAGAAAAGCAGAAATCAATGAGATTGAAAACAGGAAAACAAAGAGCTGGGTCTCTGAGCTTATCAATAAAGTTGACAAACCTCTAGCAAGACTGGCAAAGAAAAAAAGAAAGAAGAAACATTACCCATTGTCATGGTTTGGATTATGTCCCCCAAAAATGTGTGTATCAATTTGGCTGGGCCATGATTCCCAGAATTGTGTGGTTGGCCTCCATTTTGTGATTGTAATTTTATGTTAAAGAGGATTAGGGTGGGATTGTAACACCACCTCTACCCAGGTCACACCCTGATCCAATGTAGAGGGAGTTTCCCTAGGGTGTGGCCTGCACCACCTTTTATCTCTCAAGAGATGAAAGGGAAGCAAGCAGAGAGTTGGGAACCTCTTACCATCAAGAAAGCAGTGCCGGGAGCAGAACGCATCCTTTGGACCGGGGTCCCTGTGCAGAGAATCTCCTAGTCCAGGGGAACACCGAAGAGAAGAAGGCCGACAGAGAAAAAGCCTTCCTCTGGAGCTGACGCCCTGAATTTGGACTTTAGCCTACTTTGACTGTGAGGAAATAAACTTCTCTTCGTTAAAACCATCCACTTGTGGTATTTCTGTTAGAGCAGCACTAGATGACTAAGACACCCATATCAGAAATGTATAGCAGATATTTTTAAAGACCCTGCAGACACCAAAAAGGTAATAAGGGAATAAACTACAAACAACTCTTGTTGTTAGGTGCTGTGAAGTCCGTTTTGACTCATAGCATCCCTATGTACACTGCCTGCACCATCCTCACAACCGTTGTTATACTTGAGCCCATTGTTGCAGCCACTGTGTCAATCCATTTTGCTGAGGGTCTTCCTCTTTTTCGCTGACCCTCTACTTTACCAAGCATGATGTCCTTCTCCAGGGACTGGTCCCTCCTAATAACTTGTCCAAAGTATGTGAGACAAAGTCTTGCCATCCGTGCTTCTAAGAAGCATTCTGGGTATACTTCTTCCAAGATTCATTTATTCATTCTTCTGGCAGACCATGGTATATTCAGTATTCTTCACCAACACCATAATTCAAAGGCATCAATTCTTCGATCTTCCTTATTTATTGTCCAGCTTTCACATGAATATGAGGCGATTGAAAATACAAAAAAATCTACATCCATAAATTTGACAACTTAGATAAAATGAATCAATTCCTCTAAAAACACAAACTACCATAAGTCATCCAATATAAAGTAGATAATATGAATACTTCTATAACCATTAAGGAAATTGAATCTGTAATTACAAAACTCCACCAAAATAAATCTCAAGGCTTAGATGATTTTACTGCACAGTTATATCAAATGTTTGAAGAATTAACATCAATCCTATACAATGTCTTCTAGAATATAGAATAGAAAGAAAAACAACCTACTCCGTTCATGAAGCTAGTATTACCCTGATAGCAAAAGCAGGCCCAAAAGAAAAAAAAAAAAATTTTTAAGAACAAAAACAAATTGCAGACCCATATCCTTCATAAATATAGACACAAAAATCCTTAACAAACTATTACCAAATAGAATTTAGTAATATGTAAAAAGAATTACATACTATGATGCAAGGCTGGTTCAATATTTGAAAATCAATCAACGTAATTCACCATATCAACAGGCTAAATAAGAAAAATCACATGATCATAGCAATTGATGCAGACAAAAGTCTTTGACAAAATTCAGCACCAACCCAACCAAAACCCATTGCCATGTAGTCGATTCCAACTCATAGCGACCCTACAGGACAGAGTAGAACAGCATCATAGGGTTTCCAAGGCTGTCTTTACGGAAGCAGACTGCCACATCTTTCTCCCACAGAGCAGCTGTTGGGTTGGAACCCCTGATCTTTCGGTTAGCAGACGAGACTCAACCACTGTGCCATCAGAGCTCCTTAATTCAACACCGTTCATGATAACACCTTTCAGAAAAATAGGGATAAAGGGGAATTTCTCCAACTTGGTAAAGAGCATTTCCAAAATACCGACTGCTTTATTCATTTATTCATCTCAAAATCACCCAGATGACCTTCAGCAGGTGAATGGTTAAACAAACTGTGGGCACCCATACCATGGAATACGAATCAGCATTAAAAAGGAATGAATTATTGACACACACAATGATTTATATGAATCCCCCGAGATTTATGTTGACTGAAAAAAGACAATCCCAAAGGTTTACCTGCTGTATGATTGTTTAAATAACAAAATTACAGAAATGAGAACAGATTAGTAGTTATGGGGGATGAGTAGGGGGTTGTTAAAGGAAGTAGACGTGGCTATAAAAGGGCAGCATAAGGGATCTTTGTGATGATGGAAATGTTTATATCCTGGCTATGATATTTTACTCTAGTTTTGTAAAACTGTGACTCCAAAAATGTTTTCCTTTGTATATAGCATCCAGCTCAGTGTCCTGTGGAAAGTAGTTGCCAAATGCATATGGTTATTTAACAATTGAATGAGTTTGGCTGAAAACAGCGGTTGGTAATTCTAACACCGAACAAATTTCAGATCTTTGATAAGTAAAAGAAAGTCTTGCTTCCCTGATGCTCACTGTCTCCTCAGTGGCTCAGGCAGTTGTACACTGGGGACAGTGTGCTCCCTGGGGAAGCAACTTCTAATCTCTAGTAAGCGCCTGTGTCTTCTCATTTTTTGACTCCACTTCATTCACCTTAATAAACAATTTCTCAATATTCCCCTCCATTTTAAATATTAGCCTTCATATCTGCATTAGATATAATTTGTAATACCTAATATATGTATCGTTATGTTTATTTTCTTTCTTTGTTAAAATTAAACTTTCCTGAAAAATATTAAAAATTTACATGATATCAAATAATTTCAAATATTTAGATGTTATATAAATTATTTGCTATCTTGTCCACTTTAAGTATTACTAAAAATAATCTTGATTTTATGAAACTAATAAATGACTAGATGATAGTATTTACTTTTTTGTTTTAAAGCAGGGAAAGATGACCACGTTTAAACTATATGGAAGGCACCATCTGTAGGCTATAATTTTCTAATATTCCACTAGTCATTTTGGATTTTGTAACCTAATGAATTAGTTCAGATATAAATGATGCAGATTTAAAAGATGCACTCAATGTAAATAACTCAATATGGGATATTTCTTCTTTGATGAAAATCACATTTCTAGGGGTGAAAGATTCTCATGTCATCTATTCTAATGTTACTTCCTCATGAATTTATATTGTTAAATGTATGCCAGACACACACAATAGGCCACCATTTTTCTTTTTAAATACTCTCATTTATCATTATTTAATTTTATATCACAGTGTTAGTTTTTTTATTAATATTCAAAATATGAGAACATATCCTTCACATTATATATAGAAAGATTGAAATGAAATATTTTAAATGCACTACTCAGTGTTCCACAATTATATTAGACCGAAGATCAGAATGTGCAGTTATGAAGAATCTTAACTTAACACTCTGAGCTTCGATACCTCTATCAAAATATTCTTCTTAAACAAAACTTCAGGCTTCTCTTCCTTATAATGTGGCACTTTCTAGGAATGCTTTCTGAAGTCGATGAAAGCCAAGTGGCCCCTTAGAAGTGATTATAAAATAATTTTCTTCCACAAACGTCTGTATCATTGCGATTTCTGTTGTCCATGAGCAGATATTTCGATCTCCATCTTCTGGCATATTTTATACACGATGGAATATTTTAAAAACCAAGAAGTGTCCTCACTGGGGATCTTTTGTTATGTTTTAACACCTGATGGCTGTTTTTTGTTCCCTTTAAGGTGAGAGGCCCTCCCATGGCAGGGGCATTTAAAGAAAGACCAACAAAGCCCACAGCATTTCGAAAATTTTATGAGCGAGGAGACTTCCCAATTGCCCTTGAGCACGACTCCAAAGGCAACAAGATAGCTTGGAAGGTAAGTCAGGGCACAGCCGTGACAGCCAGCTGTGCTCATTCAAGTGACATCTCCCAGTGCCGAACACCGTGGGCTGGTAAGTAAATAAAGTCAAGTAGTTTCTCTGCAAGTGGAAGATGGTGGGTAAGCTCTCTGCAGAAGCCTCCCGTGTGAGCCATCCACCTTGACTAACAATTAAATTATAGCCCGCGAAAAAGAAAATGACAAAGTTGCTTTGCCTTGGAGAATTGTCCGCTGCCCATCCATCTCTATTTTTATGAGAAGCTGGCAGCCCAGCTGTTTCAGGCAGTCCATCAAAAGATGGAGCTGGTGGCTGGTCAGAGGCAGCACCAGGCGTTTATCTCCCCCCATTTCACCTTCCTGCAGGACATTTCCGAATGGAAGCTTTAATTACCTAAATGGATAGGTCAGGATCGCCTGCTCCCTGCAAATGCAGAGCAGAATACAAAAGAAGGCCGGTTCTCATTCCTCGGCAGCCCTCTCCTCGAGGCATAGCTCAGCCGGGGCAGTCGCTATCATACATGCCTCTGTTAGAGGCTGACCTCGTCCACCAAAACCATTACCGCCCGACATCGTCCTGACGAAAGGTTAATTGGCTTCAAAATAAATGTATTGCCTAATGACTCCATTCCAACGGGGCTGTGTTTCTGTCTAAAAGGCTCACTGAAGTTATTTGTGAAAACTTGCCAATCTCTTAACTAGAGAAGGCTTTTACATTTAATTTGAAAAATGAATGCTGATCTCTCACCTGCTCCTGCCATTTCATTATTTTTGTTATCACCGATTTTGCTTTGGGTGATATTTGTCAGCTGAAGGCTTCTCTGCATAAAGACAGCAGAGCCATTGCGCATGCATGAGAATCCTGGGAGGTGAAGGAAAACAAAGATTTTGTCAAAAAAGCATTTAAAAGGAACAATTGGCACATTTAACTAAAAATTCCAGCAGTTGTGTCTGGAGGCGAATTTAGGAATTGTTTGTAATTTGTAAGAGATAAAATCTTGTCAGAAAATAAAATTATCAAATTGAAGAATTTACCGAAATAAGTAGCTTAGAAAGATTCATTAAAATGAACCTTTTCACTTCCTCTGTGGAAAGACTGAAAGAATGGTTTGTATTATTTCTATGATGTTTTTTTGAAATGTTTTCATGTAATCATCAGACATTTCTAGATCTTGAGCAATCATCTGATACTCAGTTACTCAACTTAGAAATATTCCGAATTACTTTGGCAAGAAAAATCTGATCGTTTTCCTGTTATTAAATTTTGCCATAAATTTTTTTTTTGGTGGGAGGTGGATTGAGGGACATAGTTATCTTGCTTTTAAACATTGCTATGAAAATGTGGATTTGTTATATGAAAATGTGCATACGATGAGAAAAAAAATTTTATAGCAAATATAACTTCAGTAGATACATTTAGTGTTAACGTAAATACATATTCCCAAAGGTTTGTTGTGCTTTGGGGTCCATTTCTATTTGCTTAATTGCATACATTGTGTGTTTGACTGTCTGTGTACTGGTTCACGCAACATAGCACAGAGGAGGTTTAAAAAACCTGATTCCTGTTAAGTAAAAGAAAAGGACAAGTATTTATACAAAGTGAGTGGCTTTTAGTGTGTTAAGTAATTATACCCTACATATAAATTGTATTAATAAAAATATTTAGATTTATTTTGACCTATTCGAATAATTTTATGAGTAACATTAAGTGTCAACAGACTAAAAAAGATTTATCTTTAAAATAAATTATTAATAATAAAAATGTGGGATGAATCATTTTGCTTTATCTTTGATAGTCCAACAGTCAGAAGAGATATAAACTGCTTTTCTTTTTTATAGCTATATTAATTCTTTTAAGCTACTATCGATTGTAGTACTGATGCAGCAAAGCTAAAAGGTAATAATAAAGAGGAAGCAATATATTTGATGTCACTGGTAGGGTAATAGCATACATTTAAAGAAACGTCTTATTCCCTAACCTGTAGATTTCTGTCTTTTTAAGCTTCGCTAACCACATTTCGATTAAATTACTGTAAACACTGAAAATAAGATATTAAAATCATTAAACATAGTCTTGTGAACAAGCTGTCACTATATTTCGATTTATTTCTTGGTGCATTTACCGGAGGGACAACCTGGTTTCAGGTGGAAGTAGGAGACTTTTTAGGAGGAGTCCTTCCCAAGGAAGGGACTTTCAGTGGAGAAGGAAGCGGGGCCACTGACAAAACAAACAAGCAAGGAGGGCACGCCGCTTCTCTGTGTGTAGATGTGTGGACACAGCACAGGGCCCCCTGTCCAGCAAACCACTGGATCTAACGTCACAGTCACCCTCATCGAAGTAGCTGTGCCTCCCCAGGAAAATACTTGTCCTCTCTCCGTACTCCTGGGACGCCTGAGGATTCCATGAGGTTTTGTGAGTTCCTGAAATAGTGTATGTAATTAGTGGTAAAAAGATCCATTCCTGTAATTGGAATCTCAAACAGGCCCCTGTGACTCCAAAATACTTAGGTGTCACGGGGCTAAGACTGTCCCAAACAGAGTCTGCCCAGCATCTCTGGCCTCACTCCAGTCTGTGAAATGCTGGAAGGGATTGCTGCCCAAGTCATCAAATGCTCCTTCTACTTGTTCTGCGTTTGCTGACCAGATCACTGCCATATTAGAAACCAACAAATATTCTTGAAATAACTAAGGCACTCTATGGCACTATCTTATAAAGAACCTAATTTAAAGAAAAAAAAAAAAAGTTGCCGTCGAGTCAGTTCTGACTCATAGCGATCCTATAGGACAGAGTAGAACAGCATCATAGGGCTTCCAAGGCTGTACTCTCTGTGGAAGCAGACTGTCACAGCTTTCTCCCTTGGAGCGGCTGGTGGGTTCCAACCACCGACCTTTCTGTTAGCAGCCAAGCACTTACCCACTGCACCACCAGGGCTCCTTGTAAAGCATATTAGAGTTGATTATTTTTAAGTTTTATTTCTCTGAAAACTGTTTCATGACCATGCCTCTTACTTTCTAAGTCTTAGTTTTTCTTGCTTTAAGTGAGGAGAATGAATTGCAGGATCATTGCTGTTGTTGGGTGCTGTCAAGTTGATTCCCACTCATAGCGACCGAACCACTGGGTGGTTCTTCTTCAGCAGAACCACTGGGTGGGTTTGTACCGCCAACATTTCAGTTAGCAGCTAAGCACTTAACCATTGCGCCGCAAGGGTACTCTGGCCCCTTTTAACTATGAGAGTGCTAAGGAATTTTGTTTCATAATTATTAAAATAGCTGTATTTTGAGATGTTCATGAGAAACTTAGAAGAACAAATATTGGTTAGAAATTAGCCACAGATACCAAGTCTCCCAGTAGAAAATTGTCAAGATTAGCATCAGCAAGTTTAATTTGAGTGCACAGGACTTTGGAGTCCAGAGTTATATGTAATAGTTGTACTTTTTATGATGAAAATGCTCCTTAGAGTGTATGTAATGTTTTCTCAATGACTAGTGATTTCTTAAATCTTACTTTGAAAATGATGAACAAATTCATTTTTCTTTCTAAACAAACTAAAAAGAGGTCTCCAAATTGAACATCCAAGTAAAGAAAACGCTGTGCATAAATTAATAGGATGCTTAAATCAGTCTTTAACATTTCCACTGGCATTGGCTTGGACAGCATCTTCAATTCTGGGTTGAGCGATTAGTTGCTAATACTCATGTATGACTTCATTCAGTATTTCTTCTTGGGTATTTTGTCCTTTGTTCTGTTCCCAGTCACACTGATACTCATGAACTATAAAAAAAGCTCTGTCAAAGAGACTGTTTCCATTGACATAACTGATAATTTCCTAGTAGGAAAAAGTTTTTGGATATAATTATTATTAAACCCTTTCAAAATATGTGGGACACATGGTATTCCACCCACTTTTTATGCCTCTGGAGTTATTTGGAAAGGAAGTAGCCCGATTTTAATGTGTTTAGCCTTAGTGTGGAAGCCTTTTGAAATGCATGAAACTCAAGAACCCTGAGTTGGACCCTATTTTTGTGTAGATTGAGCATTGTCTTAAGTGATGCCTCCTGGATGTGTGAATCTTCTAAATTTTTGACGGGTTTGCCTTATTTCTGTGAAATAAGCCTCCTCAATATGTTTCTATGTTCTGGTGAGAATGTACTTATCTCAAGAATAAGCTATTGCCAGTCAGTTAGTTATAGTGGCCATTTTCTTCTTGACACCTTTCATTGTTTCCAGGTGACACTGGCTCTCTGCTTTTCTACTTCTGAACAGCAAATAATGCCTTTGAAATAAGAAATAATGCGTTGCAGTGGTACTTTTCAAGAGATTATTTTACCCTACATTGAATCTTAAGGCTCAGTCATTGCTCCCACGTGTAGTAGGTGGAATGCACCACTGTAGGCAGTTGTGCAGTATTCTGGGGCAGCTGTTTCTGCTTCTTAGCTGTTAGTACTGCTTTTGTTATAATGAAGAACGCATGTTGTTGTTAGGTGCCGTCGAGGCGGTTCCCACTCACAGTGACCCTATGTACAACAGAAAGAATTTTCCTGAGACTCAGATTCCTTTAGTTTTATTTATTTGGCCTGTCAGTACTGCTTTTGCAGTAATGAAGAATGCTTGTAGTGGTAATTTTCCTGAGATAAAAAAAATCCCTTAGCTTTATTTATTCCTCAAGTACTGCTTTTTCAGTAAGGAAGAATACATTGTACCATGTTTTGAAAAATTTTATGAAAAATAATAAAAAGGCTAAGAAGAAGGAAATGAGAATAAAATGCCTCTGCAGTCACTGCCAGGTGCCTTCATATTTTACAAATTTTCAAGACATAAAATTAAAAAACTAAAAAAACAAAACAAAACAATTTTATCACTGACTCATATCGATAGGATTGACTATGCCTGGCATCTGCTTGGACATATGTGATCCCAGATAGTGGGTATTAATATCTGTAACTCCTAACAAAAATTCTGAATTGGTCCTTTAATCAGCATGCCTTCATTAGTGAAAACA